GTTTTTTTTTTTTTTTTTTTTGAAATTGATGCATTTTTTTGAACTCTTAATACAATTTAAATTAGTGTCATCGATTTTATGGTCTGCGTCAAAGCAACATCATCATGTCATAAACATGGAGAATTTGCATCTGTCGTTTACCGATAGCTAGTTAATCAAACTAGTGAAGTTTAGAGGGAGGAATAATGTCGATAACAATCATTACCTCTGGAACTTTCGACTACTAGTAAAGTTAAAAGTTGGAATAAATATCTCAAAGCATTCTCATCTGGTACTCTGAGTAACATCAGATAAAACGACACTTTTCATTGTAAAGTAAGTGAAATAACCATGCCGTAAATAAACACAGAAAGATCGATCAAACAAAAATCTTCTGGAATTTTAGAGAGATCCAATGGTGGCATTGATGCTGTTGTAATATGGATTCCTTTTTTTTTTTTTTTTTTTCTGTTACGGTGACTCACAACAAATATGTCATAGAGCAGATGTAGTCAGGATAGAATGAAGAGGACGAGGTGTGCGACTGACTGACTGACCGTGCGAGAAGGAAGAATTCGAGGGAAGGGAAGGGCAGGGTAGGGTAGGATAGGGTAGAAAACGGGGATGTGTGTTGTGATTTCATTTCAATTTTGATGGCTTTTTCCATTTTACACGATAGTTATTGCCACGTAAGTTTGTGATAGCGATTCCCAAGCGTCTCGTTTCATCTACTACTTCCATTTCCTTCTTCTAGAAAGTGGCTGGGGATGATCTGAATAATCATTGTCTGTCTGATTAACAGTAAAAAGTTCACCTTTATTTTAAAGTTGCTAACTTCATATCAAAGTTTGTATGTGAAAATTCAGATTTTCATCAGATTTCTTCAGTAATATATCATCAGTAGTCTCTCTTACCAATTAAAATATTAAAATATGACGAATGATCTCTAAAAAACATTTTTTTTAAATAAAAAGATAAAGAGATAATAATAAAAAGGTCACATCCACATGAATAAAAAATAAGGACCAAAGTCACATGAACCAAATTAATCTTTAACGAAACAGAATTTGAAGGTCTTACAGAACTTGCAATCATTTTTTTAAATATGTTTTTAACAGATAAGAAGGACAACAATGGATGACAGTTTATCCTCGAAGTTTTGAATTCGTAGAAAAGTGATCTCGGAAATATTTCACTTTCTTTTTTTCTTCACTTCATTTTTATCTTTTGTTGCTGTTTGAAATAAAGGTGAAAATCGAGAGTGAACGCATACAGCCAATACATCCTTTCATGTCCAATTAAGGAATTCTGACAAATTTCCAAAATTTCTAGTAATTCAGCAAATCTAAAGAATACGATCATTGCATAGTATGTAAGTTATAATAATTCCATACTGATTTGGCTACCAGTCACATTCCCAACAGTCATAATTCGGGCAGACGACGCATGAAGTACAACATCCTTCCTCCTTCTTAAATTATGAACATAGTTTTATGAAATTTATATTTGATCATTGATAGTGATTTATTTATGATCAGATCGATGGTCATACATGTCGACATATTTGAAGAAAGCTGCAAGCACAGATATGGCTATAGTATTAAAGAAAAGCTTACTCAGATCTGATGAATGGATTATCGCATTGTCAATTATCAAAAATGTCTTTTACCCTTCCGGTAAATCCAATGATACTTCTGAATTATATTTGTTATGATTTTGTACAGCATACAATATTCTCAAAAGCAAAGTAAGTTATAAAAATTGTCAAAAATGATTTAAACCAAATATTTGGACACATGAAATAAATGAAAAGCTAGATAAATGACATATTAAGAAATTACTTCATTAAAAACTACAAGAAAATTGAAAACAAAATAGAAATAAAAGGAAATATAATAATATCTATATAATTTTTCAAATTATTAAAAAGAAAGAAATTGAAAAATAAAATTTCCAGATTAAAATAGGAAGATATGAGCAGGAGTGGATAGTGGTGAAAATCTATAGAATGTCGTACAGATCCGATCTATCTGTGGTGATCAAGAGCACAGCTAGTTTTTAGCATCGCATGAGGATGTACGTCAATCGGTTTGTATGACAAAGAACTTTAACACATGACAAAGAAGCAAAAATGGATTTAACTTCTCCGGCCTCCCTGTTGATTATTTGCTTAAAGTGAGAATGAATGATATGTTGTGTCATTATTCGTTTAACTGAATTTTCTCATAAATGTGTCCAATCCAGTGGTTAGATGTGAATCCGATCATCTTAATTGCTAATTTTAAACGGGATATTATAAACTTTCTTAAACTAAAATAAAAATATAAAATACTTTTTTAAATCAAAATAAATAAAGTGCACTTTTAATGGTCAGAAGAATTGACAATCTTCTGAACTCTCCCCATTATATTTGGTAAAAAGTGAAAGTGTCAGTAAATAGAATGCTAATCAGTTTAGTGGATAATAAGCCAATGAAAATTTTTGTAATTCTTTCGAAATTATTTCAACTAATTATCATAAAGCGTAGAATTTTATACGTTGAGAAGGTGAGCTGTTAAGTTAATAATTATTAAAATTAAGAACAGTGATGACGTAAAAGCCATAAGGAGTCATGAAATGAGAAGCAACACTATCAGAATTTAAACATTATATTTGCTCACAATTATCTTTAATTTTGGCTGAAACCCGTAATCTTTTACTGTTGAACCTTTGATTAGTAAAATAAAAGTTTTTTACCGTTACTGAATAAGAATGCAAATACAATGCAGATTACTATTAATCTTTATAATATTTGTTTTTTGTATGCATTTCTAGCTTTTATTGTTTTTCAGAATAAAGGTCATGGACTGATATAGTATTTCGAGGAAAAAACACCAGAAAAGTTACAGTCAATCTAGAAAAGTGAAAAATATTGAATATTGTCAACATAAAACTGGTTGGGAAGAGTACAATTTTGATAAATTCAAAACACTGAATATAGATTTAAAATGGAATTATTGTTGTGATTAATCCGGAGGCAATTTCAAATTTAATTTTAAATCCTGAAAAGAAATGGTGTTCCAAAATTGAGTTTTGATTGAATAATTTGAAGCAATTGTAATTGAGAAATGGAACCTACAAATCTCATACATTTGAAAGAGATTAAAATAAACATAAGCAAAGCTTAACCGCATTTTATAAAATTTGAATTTATAGTACAAATGACTGCAGTAATCAATTTATTCCCTACTTAGAGCATTTAGTCGAAAATAATAAACTTTTAGTTTAAAAATTTTTTTTAGAAAGAAATTGCATTTTTGCATCGAATAATTTGTTTTAATATCAAGGAGCAGTAATAGCAGTGGAGAGGTGGTAAACTCTGAATTCATTTTTTCAGATAAGTTGTCTATGAAAGGACAGAGCTTAAGAAAAAAAGAACAACTGAAAATATGAAAACAACATATTACATCGTTAGAAGAGCAAAAGTCAGCTACGTGTCGGTGTTATCAAAAAAGTCTAGGATATCCATGTTAGATAGAAAAAAGAAAACCAAACAAATCAATATGAATGATCATGACTTAGAGAGTAAACAAAATATTTGGGAATGCATTAAAATGTGAAGAAATGCGTCGTCATTGCAAATTGTACGTACATTTTGAAAGAAACTCCATTGTTAATCAACCATCGATTAAATCACTGACAGAAAACGATTTGCCTCCTATTCTCTCCTTTTATTCAATTCTGCCTCATTAATTCTCTCTTTTCAATTCGTTTGGAACATTTTAAATCAGACTTTCTAAATGAATTCGAAAACATTTCACAATGAAATACTTATCATCCTAAAGGAATATTTCAATTCTCATTCATCAATGGGAAAAATCACTGAATCAAAATGAAAAAGAGATTTTGTCCATCAGCACTTAAAGAATACTTGCAAACCAGCATTTAATAAAAATTCAAGGGTCATTAAGAGCAAAATCTACAGAATAATTTAAATCTAAATGAAAAAAAAAAAAAGAAAACAGGTAGTACTAGAATTTCTTTTTGAATTCTTTTTTAGAACTCTACTCTCTAGCTTGAAACAAAATATAATGATATAATGAGATATAGAATTAAGCTTCAGATCTTCTTATTCATGAAGATCAACATAATGAGGAGTTACGAATAACTGTTATCATCAACAACTAAAAGGATGTCAGTTTTCGCTTTTGTCCATAAAATCATCACGAACTCATTTTCCTTTATGTTCCAGAAGACATCCTCTGAAGCTCACAAAATCATTTTATTTTGAATTGCCCACAATAAATGAGAAAAAACAGAAAGCAATTAAAATCAAACTACAAAATCGTAGGGAAATATATAAAAATACCTCCCCATTACAGTTAAATATTTTGCAATGATAGCTGCCAGATATTGACGGGAAAAAGTGATAAGACTCGAGAAAAGGGAAGGAAATAAACTAACAAGAACGTGTGTGACGTTGAAACATGCGCAAAGTGTCAATGTTCGTGTGGCAATTATTTGCAAGTAAATAGGTGACAGACAGTGTGTGCATGTTGATGATGTGTAGTATTTGTGTTACCTAGATTGAATGGTAAAGTACCGAGAATGATGAGATGAACGATACTCACCACTAGAATATTTAGTATCTCGGATGTTGCTGTCCCATAATTTCATTGTTCATTGCATGCAACGGGGATGCGAGGACAATCGAGATTAAAAATTCCGATAGGCGGGGAGTGGGGTAGAGAATGGTTGTAAAGTTCCAGGTTGAAACAGAACTGACTTTGTATGTTCTGGAAACTGAGATTGATTTGAATGGTTTGATTTCAGACAGCAGGGATTCCCGGAAGTGTCGTAAATCTTCTTAAACTTTTGGTGGATTAAGTTATATATCTATTTAAACCTTTTGATATCTTAGAAGTAAGCGAGTTCATCATTAGCAGACTAGAATATTTTTCATAGTCTTGGATTTTTCATTAGCATCATTCCTTTGTTCTTTTATTGAACCTATTTGAATATTATCGATTTTGAAATAGGATATGGAAAAAGCGATCAATTCAATCGGTCCTAGTCAACCCTCTATCAAGAAGACGAATAAAACAACATTTAACAAGGATATTTCCAAAATTGATAGGCTGGTTAAACTGTATAAGGTACGTACGTGACTATAGTGCGTGTGTGTGTGTAGTAGCATTAAAATGTAGTTAAAATAGATGTTATATTTCGCACTTATTCTTTGACCATTTGTAAAGAAACTATGAAGTGTGTGAAGCGATTACTTATTTACTTATGTCTGCCGTTCAACTGTTGTAAAAATGTATTTTCCAACAGCATGAAGTCAGAGAGAATCAAATTTTGGAAGCTTCCAATGACTGGGTAGATAATGTTATTAATCTTCTAAAATCATACGGACATAAGTGATCTAAACAACAAATAAAATAACTTGTTGAAGGTAGTGCTTTTTTCGTGGTGCTGTTGTATACTTTTTTAAAGTACAAATTTGTTTCTTAATTTTTTACTAAGGGAGGCAATTATTTCTTATATTTAATATATTAAACTTTGAGGTATTAGTGTACTTGTAGCAACTGAGATTGGCAATAACGAAACTGGAGAAACGTGAAGTATCTTTTGGTGAAGATTACGATGAACAATTTGAAGAAGCTTGCAACAGACGTCTGCTAAAACTTACACAAAAGCATTTACGTATACATAAGTATTTGGTTCGGAAAGGGATTTTTGTGAATGACACAGGCGAAACCATGTAAGTTATGCTTTGTTTGTCTGTTATATTTATAGTTCCTACATTCGAATATTTTAGATGCAAAGGAAATATTTGTTAGAGGAAATGTTTCATTTATGTCAACATAAAGCATTTTCAAGAATTATTTTGTATGACATAGAGCGATTGCTTGAGTTTTCTGTTTTTGCAACAAAATATTTTTGTCTTTTTGAGAAAAAAAAAATGTTTTGTAGCTTTCCGGATGTGAAGCCAAAGCTAATGATAACTTCAACAGGTGTTGAAGATCTGAATATACTTTTGACTGAATATGTTAATCAAGAAACTGACTCTGAAGTTTTGGGCTGTAAAGTACGAATACCTTACAAGTAAGTTATCAAATCATTGCTGTTTGAATTATTTTCTGAGAATATGTAGTATAAGCTATTCCATTTTAACTCATTTGAAATTTTCAGACATGTTACTGTGAACGACGTGAAGGTGCTGGTAGAGAAATTAAAGGAAACGAACAATCAACTTTTTCGAGATGATCCTTTGGAATTCGGTGAGTGTGGAATCTTCACAGTTGGAAATAATCAAAAGTTTACTGGCTTGTATTTTTTGAGTTTCAGCCGTTAATTTCTAGATCAGTTGATTCAAAATATTGCATGCGAAGTAAATAAATTGGTGAAGCGGTTCATTGAAGATAATCACCGGATGGGTCTTGCCGATTGGGTGGTTTCAGGTATAATGAATATTTTAATTTAGTCTCATATCTTGTTTCGTTATTGCAAAATACCAACTTACTCGTACTGCATAGCTTGTTAACTGCACTGAGCATGCATTCGAGTAATTTTCTATCTACATCCCGTTTATTCTTTATTGAGTTTTACTGCTGCCATCTTTTTCAGATCAAGCAAGTGAATGTGGAAATCTCCCTTCTACGTCAGCTGATGTAGATGCTATAGAAGATAGAGAACATTCATTGAACGTTCCAACTTGGGATATTGCTAATATAGTAATTCTTTGAAAAGAAGTTAATGAGTAATTAGTGATGAATACAAATGTAGGAAATATTTTTGATTTAAATGACTGTGTCCACTTCTTCAACCATAAAACATAGGATGCTAATTCTTATATCATATTTCGTTCGTGAATTATATTATGCAGTATTAGAAATTTTTTCTTTAATGATGGGTATTGTATAAAAAAGTCATGACCTAAAAATGAAACAGGTATAAATCAACTATAGTAATTTATGAAAATTGTTATACAGTGATTTCTTACTATGCAGAAAGTGCTCAAATAGAATTTATGCTTTATAGGAATTGCATGAGGCATGTGGTCGAGGCGAACTGGACTGTCCGGAACCTGAAAGCAGTGGCGATATAGATGATACTGAAATGTCGCCGACCGCTGATGAGGAGGAAGACGGAGAGGAATGCGAGGATGACACTCAAAATAGTGTATCATTTTGTTTTCATTCAGAAAATTTCTTTGTACGTGGTTTAAATGCAGTTCATTACCAATTCATATTTGTTGACATCTTAGGCAAACTGCTAGACCTAACTGCATCAAGGACATGGATTGAACATTCTTTTAATTTAATTTAATTCAAATAGCTCTTAAATCAGGTTTAATTTTTTCCAGAATTTCTAATTTTGTATCTGGCATCAAGTAGTTGTTGTTCTGTAGGCTAATGAAGATATGGAGAATAAAAATAACAAGTCTGATGACAGTTGCTGCATTGTTGAAGAACGAGTACATGGAAAGGGCGAGAGAAGTGACGACAGTGATTGCTGCATAATAGAAGGTGACGAAAAGGCGATTTTAGAAAATTTTGTTAACGAAGATATCGAAAACAAAGATGCACATTCAGTGAATGATGCAGATCTTTCGGAAAATGGAAAGGAGCATACGGAATTGGATGGAATAGTTAATGATGATGACGATTGTTGTATTATCGAGGACTAATATTGGTATTTGTTGTATCACATTATTAAAACAGTATTTAACAAATTCTTAAAAACTAGGTTTGTTCTTATTAGAAGTTCATCCCGTTTTCGTTTTCTCCAGTTCCTTCGGAAAGTTTTTTTTTTCATTTTGAAAGCTCGTTTTACAAGGTGTGCCAATCTGCTTTTGATCAGAACCCCATAATAATTGTTATTGTGTTTTGTCAGTCGTAATTCCGGACTGTTAAACTGCAAAAGTAGATTTTATAAAAAAAAATTTTAGCGTTATTTATAATTTATTTGTATTCTGATTACTATGGCCTCTTAAGTTTCTAAATTTTTGTAAAATAGACAGCTTTTGCCTCTACCGATATACTTCACCACGTTTAAAATTCTATTCCGATATCAAAAACGATTCCATCAATTTCTATTAAAAGTAAGGAGATCAGTCTTATTTTCCTTATTGTATTGTTATAACATGTATCTTCATGTTAGGGTTTGAAAAGTAAAAGGCTGAAAACATTTTATCATCCTGTTACATCCATTGGAAAATATCCTGCTGAATGAGTTTTCTGTTACTTGCCGGTGATGCTTAAACAAAAATTGTCTTTTTAGCTTGTTACATATACCATATACATGCTACGTTAAATATGATTACTGAATGTTGACAATTGACTGTTATACGTCCTGTTAAGGGTTTAAAGATCCTGTTTTTCAAAATCTCGTTGGATGAGTTTTCTCATTGTTTGAAAACTTACGTAAGAGTTGACTCGAAATCGTTTAGGCTTTAATAGAATTGATGTTGGTGGTGCCATTGGGAATTCGTCAAGCAAATTGTTCTTTTTTAATAAACAATTTTTTATGGAACAAGTAAACATTGACACATCAATGATTAAAATACACAATTTAATAGTGGAAATGGTGAAGATAATGACAAACGACGAATATATAAACATAAAATGATTATTCGGTGATCCATTTATTACTTAAATTTCTCCTTCAGGTTTTTTTGGAAGGATAAAGTACTCCAGAACTTTCATTGGTACCAACTTGTTTCTTTTTATTGAGAGTTGTGTTGATGTTTAAAAGAGTTTAATCTTCATCCTAGGCCGATTGAGTTCCTCGTAGCATTGTCGTGTAGAATAAACTGAAAGAAATTGATTGGAGAAGAATGGATAAAATTAGAAGGAATTGAAGTAATTATGATTAAGAAATTCTCGTTTGGCTTATGAGATATATTGAAGAATTAAAATGCTAAATTTTACCTTAATTTTATTAAGAAATTATCTTTTGCAGCATAAAAATGGTACTGTAGAACGGATTATTCTTGGAACATAATAAATTAATTTAGCAAAAGTGTTGTTTAGTTTTAATATTACATAGTTTATCAATTTGCATAATTTTTTGGTTAATTTACTTAAATACCATCATTCCATCTACATTATTTTTGATTAAAATCATCTAAGTCAACTAATTAGTACCATCGAGTTCCAATTAATTTAACAACTATTTGGAGATACAAAATGCTTCGCCATCAACTTGCAAAGTATATTCATTCATTTCACATATAATATTTTTTGAAGAAGTTCAACACATAAGAAGCTAGCGCTACATATGCCATAAGATGGCAATGATCTTTTGAATATCGTTGAATACACATCGGTTACTTCAAACCGATTTACTTTAAGAGAGTATCATTAACATTTCGAATGTCTTAATGAACATTTTGTGTTCCATATGCTTCCAAAACATAGCGTTAGATTTTTTTTCGCATTTATCTTCAATGAAAAATGATACATTCAATAGAAAAAGGAAGGAAATTGTTATGGATTGAGTTTTGTTTAGCTTAGATTTTGTGGGACTCAATTGAGTGCTTTCAAGTTTCGAATTATCGCTGATATATTTAGATTCAAGTTTAAATTGTAGTTTAGTAATATTGTTCGATAGATTTCACGTAAGTGCGATTTTTTGAGCTTAGACTGCAGATGTTATAGGATAGAAGACAATAATGTACATTATTACCGAAAGAGGAAGACATAAGGTAGAGCAGCTGCTTCCTACAATATATCGCAGATGTAAGGTTAGTTACTCTCTCTCTCGGTCACTTCATTTATATTTTAGCAAATTAATTTATCGAAAAAAGAAAACTTTATTCCAATTTCGCCTTTTTCATGCATCTTTAGTTGACTTGAATTGTTGAAATTCAATACATTATCGTATTGTTTTAATCATTTCCAATTATTTCGCTTTCAAAGTTTTCTTTTGCTAAACAGAGAAAGGCTTCCGAGATAATGACACTTTTCAATCAATAAACGCTTCTCGAAATTGTAATTTGGAAGGGAAAAGATTCACATTGAAGGATGATATTTCTTTTCATTAATAATGTCAATTTCTTTAATTACAATGCAAGAGATTGACGATTAAAGATGATGAATGGACGTTATCATAGTTAATCTTGATTATTTCATTTATTTAACGAATGGTACTAAGTATCAGTTAAACAGTATCTTTTCTCCAAACAAATTAAGCTTACTTCTATACAGTGTCTCCTTGGCTTACTTATATTTCCTGGGATATTTACCGCTTTGTACTGTTCATTTGATATGTATTAAATCTCTCTTATGCAACCATGTTTTCCTGTTTGGTTGCATGGTAGCAATATTTACTCTTCTGATTTCAAAATTATTTTATAATTATCGAATTATTACTCTCCTTAGGCAATTTCCATTGTCCAGATATTATGGCTTTTGATGCAGGATGCTGAAGTGAAAATGTTGCATTAAATTATATATGTAAGCTCCATCTTGCTTGAAGGCGTTATTCAATTAATACGTTTTTAACACCGTTGATTTGCACGGCAAGATCAAAGAAGAAGTTATTGAAGATAAAATGAAGAAAGTTGGGGTGTAGAAGTAAATAATGTTCAAGTGGCATAATGTGAAGTTGTGGATATCTGGAAAAATAGTACAACTTTTGGAGAAGTTCGGGGAAAAAATGGTAGGGAGTTTTGAGTTTTCTGTATGACTGTATCGCTTAAAAAGAAATTCTCCCATGGCAAGCAAGCATTTGAGTTTAAATCGACGACGGCACCTGCCTGCCTGATATATTTGCCCCGTTGTGCCGTAGTAGCAATCTAGAAGGGTAGACAAAGCAGAATCTAATAGGAAGAGAAGATAATTAATCATTAGGATGGGAAATTAAACCCCTCGCACATGTTCCTCCTTAAACTTACGAATTTTCAAAAAAAAAAAAACTGCTCCAGTTTGGTCATTTCAACTAACTCTCATCAAATAGAGCTCTTGTCTTTGGTAATGTGTAACAAATATCAATCTATAATACCTTGGAAGTCTTGATTTTTTTAATCAAATTCAATAAAAAGAAAAAAGTTAAATCTCTTAATGTACCTGATATGTGCATACACTAAAAGTATTGAAATCTTTTAATCTCTTGACCTCTTTGCTCCTATTAAATAATACTTAACACTTTAGTTAATTTAATATATCAAGAATTAAATTAACGTTTTTAAAAATTAAAAAAAAAGTTTTCGTGTGAATATGTAATAAGAGAAAGTAAAATAATCCAAATGAATTTCATTGAGAAGAGTGAATGTTGGCTGCTAGGAATTTGCACATGATCTCTACTCTTCACTTATTTATAAGAAAATTTGTATCCATACTGTTGAGTGTCACATTTATATCATATATACCTGCTTCTCACAGTTCCTTTTTCTCATTTTATTAGAATTATTAATTAGTGCTTTCCTAGTATCTTTGCTCATTTGTGCTTCTGTGAAAATTATGAGAGCAATCTTTTACAAATGTTCTATCAATAAATAGTGACGGGATAGTTGGAATGATTGCTTACTACATAAAACAGTTAAACATCCTTTTCACCATAGAATGATTGGAAATATAACAAATTTATTTATAATTTGTGAATATACTTCAATCTGATTTTAAAGTGGGATGATTATAATATGAAGGTTAAATTGGTAATTGAAGATGGATATTGGCAAATAAGATAGGAAATTTTTATTTGTATTGGCACAAAAGACAAAATGTTACTTACATACATGATTATTATGACAATCAATTACAAAAATTTTTGCCTAATAATGTAAACCTAGAATTTTTGATATATGTATCTAATCTTGGTGTAAACTTAACCAGTTTTAAGCTTTTCGAAAAAGCCCATCATATTTTTTCTCTATTTCCATCTTTAAATACATCTATGGTTACACGAACAACAGTAAAATTTCATTTTATTAAAAAAAGTGAATTTGAAGATGTTTAAATTGATAAAATAAACTAAAAAGATAATCACAAATATGTTTAATTTGCAGTTTTTCAGAAAAGTTCTGCTCATTTTTTCGGTTTCTTCATTTTCGCTTCATTTATATAACTTTTAAACATTTGACCATAGATGAAACACAGTTTCGTCACTAATACAATTTGTTGAATGTTTCCAAATACCATAAAATGATGCCTCAGTTATGGTTCATCTAAGAAGAGTTACGGAATTTCTTTTTTTTTTTTTTTTTTCTTATAGTTAGGACGACTCAAAGCCTTTGCATTTTATAGTTTCTTAGGAATTGGAAACTGCATTGGAGCCTTATCAGATGATGCAGACAAGGATGATATCAGTGATTAAGTGATAAGTGAAAATAATATTCTCTGCTTGTTTAATCCCTTAATATTTTTTCTGTTCTGAATGACATTTCAGAAAAATATGCAAAGCTGATGATGGATGAGGAGGTTTAGTTGGAAATTAAATGGTTGTACGGTGAGACTGGCTGAGAATTAAGAACGATAGGTCCCTGCTCGGATATTATAATTTATTGGAGTTGGGATTGTGGTGCTGGAGAAATTTATGTGAATTTTTATTCTTAGTGCTCCTTGGCTAAGACTGAAGAATTATCCGGTATGAAAGCATGTAATATACTGTGTTCCGTCAAATGGGCAGCAATTTTCTTCATCAGTTTTGGATAATTTTTTGAAATAGTGGCAGTGATGGGAAACATAT